GGAACCACTATACAGTACCACGTGGTATCTATCAAACAAGCTGTGAATCACAGTTCTGGGAACACTCTTGCATCATAGAATTGGCGGCACACTATCAATTTTGGTTTCTACAAGTTTCCTAAAGAGGACAAACACAAACAAAACTTGTATTTCATGAGAGTAAGCAAAAATTTCGAGCTAAACTTTAAAAAGGAGAATAAAATGTGATTACCGATGCAACTAACCACAATGCTCAACTTGAATGTTCCTAGTGACACAATGATCTCTCAATTGCACTTATGAATCTTAAGTTACCGCTGGTCTTTCAATACTAAATGGAGAATGACTTAGTGACACTAAAAAAGGGCCATATGCTANAATGTTCCTAGTGACACAATGATCTCTCAATTGCACTTATGAATCTTAAGTTACCGCTGGTCTTTCAATACTAAATGGAGAATGACTTGGTGACACTAAAAAAGGACCATATGCTAGTGGTGTAGGACAACTTTGTAAAATAAAAATAGGGGCTGTGAACAGTAATGGGCTGTGAACNAGTGACACTAAAAAAGGGCCATATGCTAGTGATGTAGGACAACTTTGTAAAATAAAAATAGGGGCTGTGAACAGTAATGGGCTGTGAACTATAATGTGAATAGTAATTTTGACTAGCAATCACTCCTAGAGTTCCTTAGGCATCACTCCTAGAGTTCCTTAGGCATCACACCTAGAGTTAGAATTGCATCACACAACTCAAGAAGCATGTAATTGCTGAAATTTCTGAAATGTTTTTCTCTCCCCCTTTTATTAAAAGTAACACCAAGTATATATAGAGTTCTAAGTACTCCNGGTTAGAATTGCATCACACAATTCAAGAAGCATGTAATTGCTGAAATTTCTGAAATGTTTTTCTCTCCCCCTTTTATTAAAAGTAACACCAAGTATATATAGAGTTTTAAGTACTCCTAATCCAAAAAGATTATGATTCTACAGTTTTAAGACTCCAAAACCTCGAAGTCCTAAAAAATTAGAAAACTAAAATTAACTAAAACTAGAACTTTAAATTCTAGAATAGTTAACACTAGAATTTGACCCAAAAATTATGACCCATTTCAGAAATTTTAGAAATTACAAAAATACCCTTGACCCTAAAGATATAANCTAAGTACTCCTAATCCAAAAAGATTATGATTCTATAGTTTTAAGACTCCAAAACCTCGAAGTCCCAAAAAATTAGAAAATTAAAATTAACTAAAACTAGAACTTTAAATTTTAGAATAGTTAACACTAGAATTTGACCCATTTCAGAAATTTTAGAAATTACAAAAATACCCTTGACCCTAAAGATATAAAAAAGACACATAAATTACTAAATACTAGCAAACAAATTTAAGGTCATTAAAAATATAACTCAAATAATGCAAGGTTTCATACAAGTCTTTGTCTTCATGGCAAGCCAAATTTCACAATTCTTCATGTCTTTGAATTTGTTTCTTCTTAAGCATCTTATGGATTGCATCATTCTCCCCTGGTTGGAGAAAACTCGACCTCGAGTTTTGAAGTGTCGAAGTATGGAAGTCCATAAGCTTAGAATTATCACTCTTCGAGGAATCTGAAGATAGTGCCTTCTTTTCTTCTTGAATTGAGGAAATAAAGAAAAAAATTGGAGATCAATCGTCTCGATTCGATCGCTGAACTTCTCTAGAATCACAAAATCAATTGGTGGAGCAAAATGAATAGAAAGAACATCCTCGAATTGACATTGAACATGAAGCCTAGTAGCTTGCCATTCAATTGTAACCTTCCCTTTCTCTTGCTAAATCAAACTTTTTGTAATCTTTTTTGATTTTATCTCTTAGTTCATAGTGATATCTTCTTTTATTGTAGACTTGATATTCTCTTGAGCACCATTAGATGAATTTTTATGGACACTTAGATTCTCGGTGTATGCAAAAAAATCAAACACTTGAGTTACTAATGTTATTGGTTGAAAGTCATCAATAGGAGGAATTTTATTCAACAACTCCTTTGACACTTTTTCAAAGCTCTTAGATAGTAACTTACTATTCTCTAAAGGCAAATCTAATTCAATTTTAATTGTTGGTTTTTCCATCTTGATAGACTCCACGACAAAAAAATTATTTGGATATTCACTTTTTACCTTAATCTCTCGACAAGTAAGTAGCGTAGTTGCTAGGGATTGTGTTGGTTCTTCTACTTGATTTCCTCCATCTTAAATTATTAGATCCCTTGTTGCTTTGGACTGCTTTTGATGAGCCTTCTCTAATTGCAAATTAGAATGCAAATAACTTTGAGTTTTAGTCCTTTGGGAAGAAGAAACCCTTGATGTACTTGCTTGGTGAAGGAAATTTAGGTACATCTCTGTACCAAGTGCCATTTGGAATGCAAGTTCTATGTTGTATAATGGCTGCCCAAGTAATTCTGCTCTTATATTTTTCCTTAAACCAGCCTTGAATTAAGCAATTGTTTGACAGAAATCTTCTGAGATTTGATTTTTCAACATTAGATTTTCAAATCTTTTAATATACTCTGTAACAGATAGGTTACCTTGTTGTAGATTGGTAAGTTGTCTACGCAACTTCTCATAATAATTTGAAGGCATATATTTTTCTCAAAGCTTAGCTTTCATCTCTTGTCATGGGCTAATTAACGACAAACTCAATCTTCTTAGATCTTCTTCAATCCTAAATCACCAAATTTTTGGTATGCCAACAATTTTTATCTTGGCAAACCTTATTCTCCACTCATCTGAAAAATTATACTTGATAAAGTATTACTCAATAGAAGTAGGTCAACCAGAGAATATTGTAATGTCATTCCTTCCATCAAAATATCTCATAGGATTTTTCGGCTCTGATACCAAAACTTTGTAAAATAAAAAAAGAGGTTGTTTAGGGACTATAGACAGTAACATGAATAGTAATTTACTCCTAGGGTTTTTTATGCATCACACCTAGGGTTATATTNAACAGTAACATGAATAGTAATTTACTCCTAGGGTTCTTTATGCATCACACCTAGGGTTATATTGGTATCACACAACTCAAGAAGCATGTAATTGCTAAAATTTCTGAAATATCTTTTTCTCCCCCTTTTATTAAAAATAACACNTGCACAACATCCAAACTAATATTAAGCCACGTCAAGATTATCATAATATCTCCCTCTGATGTAAAATTGTCACCTCGTTGTTTTTTGGGGATGAATTCTACTTGAGGAGATATTGGTGAAGATTGACCTATAACCTCATAATCTAAATTTGTTCCATCATGCATGAGATTGGTGAAGTACGCACCATNGATGAATTCTACTTGAGGAGATATTGGTGAAGATTGACCTATAACCTCATAATCTAAATTTGTTCCATCATGCATGAGATTGGTGAAGTACGCGCCATGTTGGAATGGATCCATGTGTAATGCCTATAAGATGAGACAATCAATGTTCAACTCGTACTGAGCTACCAAGTTACTTAACAAAATTCTAATCAGTTTCATGCCAAATAAATATCCACCAGGCTAATTCTAGAATAAGAAAAAATATTGCAAGCCCTCATNGGCTACCAAGTTACTTAACAAAATTCTAATCAGTTCCATGGCAAATAAATATCCACCAGGCTAATTCTAGAATAAGAAAAAATATTGCAAGCCCTCATCTTTGTGTTTTCATGGGAAAGACTAATTCAATGAAACAAAAAGATTGAAACCAACAATCTGAATTGGAATCAATCTAAATCAGAATTGAAACAATCTAAATCTTGAATATCATCTTAACAATATTGAAACCAACAATCTGATTATAATGATTGCTGTATCTAAATTGGTATCACCAAGTTCTATCAATGTGTAAAGAAAATGAAACTTAAGAACAATAACTACTAAAAGTGAACTGGGTATCAACAAAATGATCAAGTTACCTGCTCAAATTAGATCAATTTGTAGAAACATTTGTTTATGGAGAAAAGGACCTCCTAGCCTTCACCACAGGGACACTTGAAGTGAATTGATTTAAGACCTCATTACAAGAAAGTAATTAATTTAAGACCAACCAAATCAATAATCAAGATGCTTGAAACTCTGTTGTGGGTAGAACACCAAGAAATCAAGAACTCAAGTTGATCAGGTATTGTTTTTGCACGTTTTTACTGATCCTTTTGATAAAATCACAAATCTTCTTGATAACCAGATGATGCAATTTGAGTTGTGGCATTCACATGTTTAAAAAAAAAATACATTAGAGAAACTTCTCATACCAAAACCAAGTTTTGAAATCAAAATATATCCCATTCATTTCTCAGAACCAAGTGAATGAAACTAGAAGATATGAACTTGGGAAAAGGGAGTATGTCACTGTTTTTGTCAAGTTCAAAAATGTCTTTGCTAAGAGATGCACTTAGTTCTTACCAAATTTTTATCTAATTTCCAACACTAACAAAACAAGAAAATCAAAAACAACACAGAGAATAACAAATATCACAAGCCCAAAAGAAAGAAAAAAAATCTCAAATTTAGCAAGAACAGTTCTTGAACTAGTTTGTTTTGAGCTAACAAACATCAAATCCATGATGAACCGAGAAGGCTCAATTTTGAGCTAATAAACACAATCCCTCCAACATATTTAATGCTTTTGCAACAACCCAATCTATAGTGAACAATGATCAAAATATACATACCCAGCTTTTAGAACAATGTCACAGGCAAAATTGAAGAAGTGAACAATGCTAGACATACCAATACCCAAGTAAACCAATACCCACATTGAACAATCAGGCAAGACCCATCAAGTAACAATTGAAAAATCAGGCAAGACCCATCAAGTAAATCAATACCCACATGATTGGGAAACATATAAACGAAAGAAAAATAGATCTAAATGTATGAAATTTTGAAACATACCGGAGATTTTTTGGAGATCTGAAGCTTTCAGTGAAGCTTCAGTGGAGCCTTGTCGATGATAGATTTGTCGGTGAAGCTTTAGTGATAGATTTGCCCGTGAAACTTTCAGTGATCTTCGGTGGAGCCTACGATGAAGCCTGGTCGTTCTATGCTATGGAGCTTCAGTGAGACAGAGAGAGAGAGAGAGGGCCAGCGAGCGAGAAGGGCTAGCTACATCCAACGACCAAAAATGGGATTATCTATTTTACATAAGGGAGTAGCTAGCCTCTTGGAGCAATATTTTGGGCAGAAGTTATCTAAAATAGCTAAAGGGGTAAGTTTAGCCAACCTCTTGGAGATGCTCTTATGGATTGCATCAGCTAGACTTTCAGATGGATCATTATACTATAGAACAAAATATTATGATAATTGTACCTCATCCTATTTTTGTGGCTTTCCTTGGTAAATCCACGGCTGACTTTAATTATTTTCCTTAGTATATCCTTTGTTGAACCATGATAATCTCCCAAAATACTCTTCCTTCGCCACTGAATTATGTCTATTCAAAAATAGAGAGATCAATATCAATTTTCAAATTCTCAGTAATAGCTATTAAAAGAATATACGTATCTATGAATACACGAGGCATTGTGTCTTCGGCAAGGAATTCATGCACAATGCCTTCCATATACGTATAATGATCCATGCAGAATTCATGCACAATGCCAATGCCATTCATATACTACACCCTCGCTTCTTTTTAATCTTTTGATCTCTCATCCTCTTTCTTGTCTTTAATACGTGTTCCCACTTATTGGCCAAACAATAAGTATTCTGTATAAGTATATATACCCCATCATCATCAGGTTCTAATTCGAGAACCTTCTTTCCCGCCGTTTCAGCTATTTCCAAATTCCCTCTTCCAAAGCAAGGACTCAAAAGGGATCTCCAGATCACAGCATCTGGGTTGATGGGCAACCATTGAATTAACTCTAACGCTTCCTCCAAATACCCTGCTCGGCCAAGAAGGTCCACCATACACCCATAGTGCTCAATCATTGGTTTAAAATCATGACAATCAAGCATTCTGTTGAACAACCTCTGCCCTTCACTGACCAATCCTGCATGGCTACAAGTAGATAACAACGAAAGATATGTAATCTCATTCGAGTGCATATCTCCCTTCACCATGAAGCGCTAATCCAGATATAATGGTGGTCCATGTTAGCAAATCCTTATCCAACATTCCCCTAAAAATCTTTGTAGCCAAGCCAAGGCTGCCGCTTTTTGAATACAGATCAATCAGACCATTATTGACTGCAATATCACAAACAAGACCAGCAAATTTGTAAACATAGCCATGAATTGATTGACCAAAATCAAGAGCTCCTAAATCAGCACAACCTGCAAGGACAGAAACAATGGTAATTGAAGTAGGATGATCTTCACCTCCAACTCTCATTTTCTGAAATAGTTCCAATGCCCATATTGGGGTTTTTCCACGTACATAGCCCACAATCATAGCAGTCCACGAAATTGTGTTTNTCATATTGGGCTTTTTCCACGTACATAGCCCACAATCATAGCAGTCCACGAAATTGTGTTTTTCTGAGGCATTTCCTCAAACAGTTGGCCTGCAGATCTCATATCATCACACAGTATGAACCCATTAAGCAAACTAGTCCATGTAGCCACGTCTCTGAACTCCATTGTACCAAACACCAGTTGATCCATATGCATTTTTCNGAACCCATTAAGCAAACTAGTCCATGTAGCCACGTCTCTGAACTCCATTGTACCAAACACCAGTTGATCCATATGCATTTTTCCATTTCGGCTATACATATCAATCAGAGCATTACCCACGATGGGTTCAGAGCAACCCAATTCATATCTATAGTTCATTCCATGAACTACTCTCCCATTGAGTAGATCATTCTTCCAGCCACAAGCCAAGAGAGCACACACAACTGCAAACCCATCTGGCCTGAAACCGGTATTTATTAAGTCAGAGAAAACAAAGAAAGCGTTAGCTGGACGTTCAGTGTTAAGGTAGAGAGAGATGAGACAGGACCATGAGACTATGTCGGGACTTTTGTATTTGGTTGAAGATCCCCTGGGCTGCAATGGATTTGCCCAGTTTTGCGTAGGTGTTTTCATGCAAAGAGTTGGTTGTGATTCAATAAACCTTGTGTTATGGCTTGCATGTGGATTTGCTTGATGAGCCTCTCATGGTTTCCATATTTGTCAAGTAGAAGTCTCAAGCCCGATAGCTTATTGGTCATCTATTCTAAACTACTCTTAAATAAAATGGTTCTTGCCCATTCAGCTCATAAATTCGCCTTAGCAGTGAAGATCTACCAGATTTATTAGAGCATCAGAGCCCTGTTTCCACCATCTAGGTATTGTTAAACAATGTTAACAAAGAACAAAAGACAATCGATTTCATGAAGACTCTAAGTGATCAATAGCATTGCACATATAGATCTAAATATATTTGACTGGAGGAGTTATTAAAATATGAATAAAGCATATGAATATAGGAAACTGAATTGACCATAGAGTCATGCATGTGTACAGTTTGGTAACCCTGCCAACATTAAAGGAGACCAGCAAGCATAGTAATGAACTAATGGGATCAAGAAAAGAGAACAAAGAAACACATCATACAAAACAAAAATGCCCACTAGTTCTCCTTGGAGAAAAAAGTTTGAGAAACGAAGAAAAATTAAACATCATAAAATGAAAATAAAGAGGAATTGAAGCATCTCTATTCCTCAATCAAATTACTCCTACACAAATTGTGGAGAAAAAAAGTTAGCAGCATATAAGAATGGCCACTTGTGAATTGACCAAAAAATGGTGATCAATTTTGGTCAAATATTAGATCGTCTATGAAATTCTGACATTGCCCTATTCTAACTACAATGCTAGTGTATAAAAAGGTAGTACTTGTGAGATAGCATTATTGCAGTGTCCCAAAAAGGTATTGATTTNTGAAAAAAAAGAGGAATTGAAGCATCTCTATTCCTCAATCAAATTACTCCTACACAAATTGTGGAGAAAAAAAGTTAGCGGCATAAAAGAATGGCCACTTTTGAATTGACCAAAAAATGGTGATCAATTTTGGTCGAATAGTAGATCGTCTATGAAATCCTAACATTGCCCTATTCTAACTGCAATGCCAATGTATAAAAAGGTGGTACTTGTGAAATAGCATTATTGCAGTGTCCCAAAAGGTATTGATTCAGAGTTTCTCTAACCTTGAAATTTTGTTGCTCTAAAACATTATCTTGAAGGTGGTTAAAGTCCAACCAATTGATGTAATGACTGGTCAAGATTGTTTTGGGTTAGACGAATAATGCTCTGCCATGTACGATTAAAAAGAAAAAAACAAATTTTGAATATGTGCTACAGCTTTTAGTAGAGTATTTTGGTGGAACAAACATGTTATTATTTCGATTATAACCATGTTTCACTGCAGTAAAAATTCTTGTGTTACGCACTAGTGTGGTGAAATATAAAACATACCATACAGGGGACACTCAGAAAATAAGAAATACATCATTTGCGACNCACTAGTGTGGTGAAATATAAAACATACCATACAGGGGACACTCAGAAAATAAGAGATACATCATTTGCGACACTCAGAAAATAAGAAATAAGATAAAAGAAAGAAAAACAAAACAAAAAATATTGGTTTCCTATGAGTTACAAAAGAGTCCTAAATAAAGTGGAAGGGCAGATTGCACAGCAGACTCAATAGAGTTAAAATGTANTACAAAAGAGTCCTAAATAAAGTGGAAGGGCAGATTGCACAGCAGACTCAATAGAGTTAAAATGTATGTGATTGTTACGTATCTCTTCTAATCTTCCATTCTACTATTGTTCTGGTGAATATGTGAGTAGTAGACTCATCTGATGTTCCAATTTACCACAGAACATGATCCAGAAACTGACATCTAATGTGTGTTGTAATTGCAACGGAGAAAATATATATTCCGTGAGTAATGTCTAATTCATAGAAAAATAATTTTATACGAGTGTCAATGACGAGACAACATAATCTGTCAAATAATCTTTGAATTTGAAAGTTTGGAATTTTTTATTTAACTTAAAAATTATGTCAATTAGTTATACTATCAATAAAAAAAGATATGTTAGAAAAATTTCAATACATATACAAATACTAAACAATTAATATGCATACAGAAAAAAAAATTTAAATATTAAAAACTTTACACTATTATTAAAAAATATTTTAAATTTTTTTTAATTGAATATATCACTTTAGGCCTCAAAACATATCAAGCCACCCCTGCCAATAGGCAGCCTTCCTTCCTGCTAGCTAGCTTATATTCCCCCTTCTCTAGAGGCAACTTTTTAGTGATCACTGCATTGAGCACTAAATAACAAATTTCTACCAAGTCAAACTGGTATCTTTATGTGGAGGATCGATCAGTACAAAATATTTCCCTGCTGTTTTGTAATAATTAAAAGGAAAAAAAAAAAGCAACGGAGAAAATAGAAATGCAACACAAATTAGGGGTTTCTACCACCCATTTATTTTCAGATGCCCCAGAACTAATCCCAATCAATAGAGTTAGAGATTTCATCACACAGTTTAGGATGAACATATCGATCTAGTCGTGCAGAAATTCTGATAAATAACAGCAAATACACAGAATTAGAGGTATAGGAATTTCATCGCACGGTGAACCATGCACATATCGAATCAAATTCCACAAAACAGATCGAATCAAACAAAGAATCATGACAAATTACAGGAAAATCGAATCAATTGAGTACATGTAGAGAGATAATCGAACCTGGTGAGAAGAACTAAAGAGTTGTACTAAAACTTCCCGTCGCGCTGGACAGGAAAGCGGCGAATAATTTATACAAAGCAACAGCGTTATTGGAGGAGGGCAAAGACGAAATAGACGTGGTGTTTGTTTGTAGAGATAGGACAAACATTTCCGGATTAATGCAATAACAGGAACAAGAAGAAGGAACAAAATTGGGTTTATCTTGCATCTCCAATCCCAATTTGGAAATTCTTGTAAATTGTACAACTTTCCCATTATATCCATTTGGAATTTTGACTCTTTTGTATACCCTTTATCCATNTTGTAAATTGTACAACTTTCCCATTATATCCATTGTATTCAATTTCGTTCGATAATACATCACTCACCATGTTTAGTGAAAGATCCATTTATATATAGCAGGTTTTACTTAAATTAATCATAAATAGCTTACAAATAAATCAGATTGAATAAAGGGTATACAAAAGAGTCAAAATTCTTGTTATGATTACCGCTTGTATATATTGTTAATTGTTGCACATGTACATTGCATGTGGATCATCATAAACCTAATTTTTTTTTATAATAAACTCGAATATTACTAAATTAAATCTCAAACCTGCTTACATTAAAATAAATGAACATGCCCCAAAAAGGGTTAAAAAAAATGAGCAAAAGAAAAGGATTGCATACTGTATTATTCTGCTCGAGTGAGTGGTTCATGATAGTCGTTCACGATACTCGTTCACATGGGCAGATTTGGTATGGGGCAGTGGAGACAGCGGCCCCTATTGGAATTTTTAAAAAAATTAAGACCTAGATAAAATTTTAAAAGTTTCTAAAAGTTAGGAATTTTGCCTCCACTAAAATTTTTATAAAGTATAAGGTGAATTAATATAATTTTCAAACCATCAAAACATACTGTTGACGCCTTTACTCGCCTTCTCAACGGACCTTAGTCTCTGCCCTTTCTTCACCAATAAATCCTGCCCCCTCTTCTTACTTTTTCTTTGGTATCTTGGTTATCTCCTTTGGCATATTGGTCAACAATTCGGCATACTAGTTCAATCGTTGCGCAAATCAACCTTGGAAGAAATTCTAAAAGATTATGTTAAAGTTCCGGAGAGGTAATCTATTAACCATATTTTTTTTGTTCTAATTTCTATGGATTCTCAATCTTAGTTCTTTCCAAATTAAAGCATTGATGATTATTTGGTATATTATTTGTGAAACTATATAGGTTTTCTTTATTTTGTCTTAAGTCGCCACTCGGCTATATTGGATTTTTGTTTAAGCCTTATTATTGCGATGCGATGAATTTTGCTTATAACATATTAGTATTCATTGTCAAGGCCCTTCCTCGAAGCTTAGCATCTCTCTTCAAGCAGCAATAGACATTGTTGAACATAAAAAATGTTCAACTAAAGGTTAGTATGAATTTGTTGGTGATGGGTGCACGCTAGGTGCGAAATTTTTTCCATAAGCTATTTATTCATGACCTTACTCATTAAAAGAGTCTCCAAGCTCGTCTGTTACATTTTGGATGTGTTCTCATAGCCATGGTTAAAAAAATTCTACCAAGACTTGCGTGGGGTCTCAAACATCTCGATCATACTCCAATAGTAGTTGGTGTTTAAAGTTAGCAAATGATTTATTTACTTCAAGATAAATCTACCTATCAAATTGTGGTATAAGTGGAAGCCCCACTACA